TAAACCACTATATTTGCTGTAAAGGAAGTTTTTGTTTGTAGTTGTATTTCTGTAGTATTTTCTTTGGGGAAGTAGATAGTGAACATCAATCACTGGCAAGCAAAAAACCACTGACCCACAAAACTTTTGGTAAGGTGGACTAATAAAATAAATGTTGTGTTATTTGTGATCTAATTTAGTAACATCTGCAGACTTTTCATTGTGGCTGTCAGAAATCAAATTGAAATGAATGAAACAATCTATTCTGACATGCAGTTTGTCATTTTTAATCAGATTACCTTTCCCAGTCTCGTAATATTTGCAGTAGTACTGACTAAATTCCTAAGAGGCTTTGAACTTAGCTAACAGTATGTTGTTTCATGGGAAATAAATAATTGTGTGCTGTATCTTTGAAAAATACAGTATTTTCCAAATAATACAAATCCTTCCTCCATGTTTCAAAGTGCATTCGGTTCTCAAGGATAAGGTTCATAGTTTTGAAAAGCTATATTTAATTTGAAAATTTAGATAAGTTTCTAAGTTTTCAGTATTTATGGGGTTTCACAATGAACCATAAATGGACCAGCAGTTTTGCTCTATATCTTACATTTTACCTGTTCACGGTATGGAAAGCAAATACTTCACTGTCTTTATGGAAATGTAAAGTAAAATTTCTGAGTATAAATGTATTTGAACATTATCTGGTATGGATTTTCAACTCAGAAGTCTGAAATCAAATAATCCCAGGCATGACTTCTGTGGCACAATCATAAAAATGTGCAGATTGTCTCAGTCAGGCATAATAAGAATTTTGTTTCTAGGATGTGACTCACTAAAATTTTGCCTGTTTCTGTTCTGCCTTCCTAATGAATTACTGTTTAGTTTAACCAAGGAGTAGACAGGCTGGGTTTGAAGAATTGACTCAAGAATTGTTTTCCTTGAATTTTACTCTTCTCTCCTCCATGGACAGAGATTAATAGAATTTAAAACTTAACACACACACACACGATGATAAACGATCATGTAATCTAACTTGTGTATCATAGACATGGACTTTTATTTATTTATCCTATACTTTTAATTAAAAAAACATAATGTCTTGCTTTTGGCTGAAGCAAAAAACATCTACAAAGGAAGTGTGCAGCCTTGATTTGAAAACATCAATGAGAACTTAAGAGTCCCAGGATTCAAGGTTAATTGTTCCTGTAGCTTTTCTTTTTTGGTTTCAGAGGTGTTATTGATTTTTTTTTTTGTCCTATTAACTTTTGCTTGCCAAATTTGAAGCATCCATATTTATTTTTTTCACTTATGAAAGTACCTATGGAATGTGATATGGTCAATTCTTAGTCTCCCTTTAAAAAAAAAAAAAACAAACCCCAAACCTCCAAAACCTATAAAGATTGATTTTTCTTAGCTCTTTTAATGTAAAAGTCTCTTCAGCAGGCTTCTGATTATTTTTATGGATCCTTTCTAACTTGAAAAGTTCCCGTCTAGTTTCTTAATGTTAAATTTAAATATGTGCAAGTCAAAACTGAATGTTCTCTTGCAGTATCAGTCCCACCATTGCCTTTCTAACCCCAGTCAACTTGTTATGCTTCAAAAAACCATAATGCTTGGTGAGGCTACAGAACGATCCTCGAATTTGAGTCTTGCTTATCTACAGCAAATCCTGCCTCTTTTTCAGATAAAATGCTTTCCAAGGCCCATTTATCCTCATTAAGTTATGGTCTAGGTTCTTATTTTTAGATGAATGACCTTACATTTGGCTCTGTGAAAACACAGATTCTTTTCCTGAAAACATCCAACCATGTGATCCGTTTCATTCCATATGCTGCCCTGTCCCTCTCCTCATTATTATTCACCTCGACAGTATATGCCATCTGCCAATTTTCTTTTTGTATTTATCTTTAAATTATTGAAAAAAATTGGGATGAAACCCTAAAGTCTCAGAATCCCACTGGATTTTTTCAGCCATTGATGACTCCTTACTGACATTTTTTTTTTTCAGGTTTTGCAATTACTGACATTATTATTCATGCAGTACCTGGCTTATTGATACTGCATAGTATTATTTTTCTCTTGTAATGATGTGGGGTGTGAAATTAAAAATACTTATAAGAAGCTATTATGTTTAGCAAGATGCCTTTGTAAATTAAATCGCTTACATAAGTAAAAGAAAATGAAAAATGGGGTTGTCTGGCAGACTGTATTTCCTAGAAGACTGTTAAAATATCACGTCGTGACAGCATTTAGAAACACAAAAAATATTCACAGTCTTTACCTGTGAATTCCACTGTTTATTTCTTGAAGCAATACTGATAATTTTTTTGCCCTTTTTGAATATTTGTGCTGTGTAATTACATATCCCATCCTATGGAACTTCACTGGTATGTGAAGATCTGTTAAAAGGTAATGTCAGGAAGAAAAAAGGTCTCATCAGCCCGGTGAGTTAGGGACTCTGATGATGATTTTAAAACATTTGATGCTAATGTAAGTTGCGAAGTGACTTCTCTGTTGGCTAATTGCTTGGAAAGTAGTCATCTTTGCTTTGCTGGAGTCTCATATAGGTTGTAATTTCATATCACAGTTGATCTGATCTAGCTGCAGGCTGCTACAGAAACAAGTAATTTCTCAAGGTCCAAATCCTCACACCCTAATAGCTGTTCTGAGTTAGAATCCTCTTGTGATAGAATGTTAATCCTCCACCCCTTCAAGAGAAAACAAACAAACAAAATTTCCACCAAGATTAATTTTGCTTGAGATCAGAGATTTCATCTGATCCACAGATCACATCGCAGAGTTGGGATCCAGCACAAGAGAATTCCTGTTGGGTGAAAGCGGAACAGCCCTTTTAGCAGCAAATCACAGATAATTAAGATTAATCGTGATATGAAATCGCTTCTATACCTTCCAAAATCCATCCTTACAAAAGTTTTTGGAGAGTTTATCAAAACTGAATGAATTATCCAAAGAATCCCAAAGTATATTACTAGCATAAAGATGCCTATATATAAGCAAACATTGAATCTTGTATCTGTAATCAAAATTGTGGGTTTACTGAAGGTGAAAATTAAATAATTGCCAGGAAATTAAATCATACTTGTCCATGGCATCAGTCTTGGAAATATCTCAATCATTCTGGCTAATCTTTAATTATTGTTATTTTTATTTTAAATAAAACTGAGCAATTATAAATGAAAAGCATCATAAGATGTGTCAGCTGAAAGGTTTGAAGCTGAGAACACTAATATGCAATTTGGTACTATAGTGGCAGGTGTTGGTGGGCTTTGACAAAGGTCTTATTGCACTTATTACATGTAAAGTTTAATCCGTATTTGTACAATTGAAGCTAGAGGGAACCAGTGTTTTAAACTATTTCAGACCACCTTTTATGAAAAACAAGCAAAGGAACAATGCTTTTCACCCTAAATGTTCTTTTTTCATGAACCAGCTGTGAATTTAAGGACATTTCATGGCCTTAAAATCTCAGAGATTTCTTCTAGAGTGAAATTTTCAGTACATACTATTATAACTCTACCACTACTTATACAATTACAACGGTCTTAGAGTTACTAATTTTTCCCAGGCTACATTTTTGTCCTTTATGTACCAGCTGTAAGATCTACACACTTTTATTTTTTCTTAATTCATTTTAATGGGAACTTAATAAACAGGCTTGAGGAGTAGCTAGCACTAATATTCAGGTAGCGTAGTATGTATCTTTAATTAATAATAGCTAAAGCTGGTTTTGTGGTGATTTTTCTTTGTGAATGGTTTTCATACTTTCTAATGTACTAACAAAGTTATTATCTTTTATAATGCTTTTACATTAATATTTAGATTACTTCTGGTAGGATAAAGTGTTAGTGTCCTTTCTCTTTGCTCTAATGCTCCTTTTATTTTCTGTTATTTGTTTAGAAATTTTCTATTTACATGAATAATAACTGAACACATTCCTTTT